TGTACCTAATGACAGACTTCAATATATTGAATTTTCACCCTTGAATCTTGAACTTATTAAGTACAATAGTTGTCATATATTTGTAGATTGGACTATTCGGAACAAAAAAATCTGTCACCATTTTGCAAATAACACGCAAATTGTTGAGTTATTAATTAAAGAAGCCTCTATACGTGACCACTTTCAATCATTGATAACTCGAAATTTTGCATGTTATTTGCAAAATAGTCTAGGATTTTCCCGTTCAGTTTCCCGTTCTATTTGCGCACCATAGGAACCAAGATTAGTTTGGGACACCCTGTATGTATATGTGTGCAGCTTTTATGTGTCGTGTTTATTTATACAACGCGCGCTTAGGAGGAGGGTAGATAAATTTACGAGGCGTTTCAATGAGTGGTTAACGATAAAATATCGAGTGTCACCTTTGCTATCGTGAAAGTCCATTTCAGTGCAATTTATATCGCGGGTGTGGACGAACCAATATATCATTTATGTGTAAATTACTTCGATCGCACACACGCATACGTGTATGTAAAATCAGGAACAATGAAAATTCAAGTTTCGTCATAATTGGGGTGACGTCCCGAGTCAGAATTTTGATGACACTGTGACGCTCTTAAAGAAAGTTTGCGCCCGCTTAGACGGCCTATAGAATAATAAAAACCTACTTCGACGATATTGATACATTTTAACTTCCTTTTTGAACCTTCAATTCTACAGATTGAATTTTAATGCTACCTTCGTCGTTCTATTTTATCATCACTAAAACAGCGAAAACGGAAATTTGAGACGCCATCAGGATTAAAGTAGGGGTTATATTATATTATTAGAATCGAAGTTGAACCTGTTTTATTATCTTAGCTCTTATTATGTTGTAGAATTAAAGGTTTAGCATAGGAACAGAATTTCGACTCAGGACGTGATGTTATTCGCACATTTCTAAGACGCGATGCACTTTTTATTCTCACACCCTCGACGAACGGCTTTCGATTAATTTTTGGTACCCGAAGATTCCCCCAGCGTCCGAACCATTTTTAATCTTGATGGTCCATAGTTATGCTTTTTATTTGACGACCGGCGCAATTGGTTTTTCCGAATGCAACGTAACTTACGAAATTAAGAACCGTACGTCGTCAGCCGTTTATTGACCGCAGCGATTGCTGCGTACATTTTTTAAGCTGAAGCTCATCGTGGATAATTTCGACGCCTCAGACGCTCGATAAATTCGTAGTTTCGTGTCGACCGAATACTTTTTCGCGCTAATTCGCGCGATCCTGCCACTCTCCTTGACTTTTTCTCGATCGATCGCAGCGTTTCATCGCCGACATCGTCGTACTCCCATCGATAAAAATTTTTTCGTAAAATCGCTTCATCGGGTTCGTATATTATGTGTCGATTACGTGTCAGAATGATACGATTGCTGGTGGATCAATAAGAAACGCGGACGAACGATGTTTTCGTCGTATTTTTGGAAAATTGGGTACCGAGGGAAAAGAGAAAAAGAAAGTAAGGGAGAGAGAGGGAGAGAGAGAGAGAAAGGGAGAGAGGAAACCATTTTCGATTTGTACAATGGGAACGAGGTCGCTGCAGCTCCCTCAGGAATGCCCACGTACGCCACGTAGCGATAAGCATTCCGGCGAGTGCGGCGATAGATACGGAAATAGGTGTAACGTGTCTTGCTCCTTCGCACCTAGCAGCGATAATAAAATAATAGATTGTGCGACACTTTGTGCAACCACGAGTCACCGTTAACGTTATTTCCGAGATTTTCACTCAATATCGCCGCCCGTCTACGGTCGATGTGTAATTATCGGCATGTCGCGAAAATAATATACGGTTAGAGCGATATTTGTGACCGCATGAATCTGACCATTTTCTTTCCGTTTCTTCTTCTTCCGTTCCTTCTTCTTCCTCTAGAAGTATCAAGCAATATAGTGATAACCAAGCTTTTAGATCGTCACTATGCCCTCTTTTCTATACGTATTTTATGACACCACTTGACAGAGAGAGAGAGAGAGAGAAAGAGTGTGTGTGTGTGTGTGAAATGGGGTCATTTTGAATAGTTGATGCAGGAGATCCACCGTCCTCGTATAATTTTTACGGTGAATTTCTGTCTTAAAGATTTACCAAGCTGGAACTTCCCGAAGTGGAGTTCGCTCGAATATCGGGAGGACACTTCCCCGGCGAAAACTTTTCCGGCCCTCCTATATTGGGTGCACTTAAATTTTCATTACTTGCAATTTGATAATTTTTTCCATCGGCGCGCTAAAAAATTTAATAAATTGTCGTTATTAAAATTTAATAAATCGTTATCGGTAAAATTGCATCCCCAATTAAGAAAATCTTTATTCTCTTTAGAGGAGGTAAGCTTTTAACACTAGCTTTAACACTAAATCTAATAAATATATAAATGTCTTCTTTACAAGTATTGGAAAAGACACCCCACTAACTTCATGACACATATCCTCGTCTGCAAGAAGTTTAAACAACTTCTTCTTCATCCTAGTCCTGTTGTCCGTGTCCGAGCGTGGCGACCTCTCTTATATGGTGCGTACATTGATTATACACAGGCAAATGGGACCTACAGTTTATCGCCGGTTTCGAACGGCACTATTTTTTTAAAGAGGTTCTCTTGGCAAGGTTACTCTCGGTGGTTTGCCATTGTCTTCCGAAAAGAGATGCGAGCGTAAATATTTTGGCTTCTGCTCGATCGAACCCGGGACTGCTGGCATATAGAAAAAATAAAAGTGGTAGCCCATATTTAGACCTTCTCCTCTATTCTATTTTTGATTACTCTAAAGAATTCTAAAGATGTACACAGATACGTATATGTGTGTACATCGATCTCCAGGATAACAAAAAGATATTAGCGGAAGGATAATAACGCTCGATTCTAATTCTACAATAATTATTTGAATTATTTTATATGCGGTGGTGCAAAAACGTCGCTTATCTTGCCTATTATTTTAACTAGTTTAGCGAAGAGCCAAAATCTCTCCTCACCGGTGACCATTTTACGATTAATTTCCCCGCGGTGCGTGTAATAACGCTAATGAACGACATCAAAGGAATAACACGGAGTCTACGTGTTTCATTTAAAACAGATTTAATTGAAGAGATTTAAATCATACAGCGACTAGTATATCACTGTAATTAAATTCATTCGTATTTACGTTCCGCCAAAGCGCTCGCGGAGCTCAACAAAAGTGCGGCCGCGAGACTCTGCCATCGAAATTGTTCGCGTGCGGTGTTTGGGAAATGGTTTTGAATAAACCCCAACTGGTTTCCTATTGTGCCATTAATTGCAATTTAAACCGAGCGTATTGCTTGGTCTATTCTAAATTAATCAGTCGTGCCTAATTGTGTAGCATTGTAAACACGATGAAGCGAATTAAATATGTCATTCGCCTGCGACTCCGATAATAATAATAATAATAATGATGACACAAGCTTATGTTGTAAAGCGATATATAAAATACGCATCGATCCACTCGGTATAGCAGGAAGAAGAAATCGACTCGAATCGCTCGTTACTTCAAGGGGGAAGGCAGAGGACGGGTGAAAAGATTTTGCTGCAGTTTGAAACTTTCCAAAACGAACTTTCCAAACGTTCTCCAATATTATTGATGGCTCTTGGAAATTGTATATTTCATTACGTTTTCAGGTCACTCGCGCGGCTACATTTATATTGAGCTTTTATGTATTTTCAGCTTTCGGTTTTTTTTTTCGTCGAATTGGCCAATATTCAGGCCGTGAAGCTAATTTAATCGCCGCTCGTTCGGCGACACAAGACAATCCTCGAGTCTAAATTTGGATATAATTTTGACGCTCTTCAGGATAGTTTGCGTCTACTCAGATGATTTATTTAGAAACTACTTTTACGATATTACACTTGTCAACTTTTCTCTTGAACCTTCAATCCTACAGATTTCATTTTAAAGCTACTGTAAAACTAAATGTATAAATCTATTTTGACGTTGAAACAGAAACGGAAACATCACTCCGAGTCGAAATTTTGGCCCTGTATTTGGCTCTTTGATTCTAGGACGCAGCAGGAGCTAAGATGGCAAAATATGTTCAATTTTAATCCTAATGATATAATTGATTTCTACTTTGACTCTGATTATTTGTTAATATTTCGCTTCATATGTGAACATATCCTCCATAGTTTCGACCTCGTAGTGGTCAACCCATCCAACTATTGGCGGTGATCCGTACTGTTTTACACTTCAGTGATCAGACAGAAACCGACAAGTCCTACAAGTTCTTATCTTTATATCTTTATATTTCATGTTTATAATGTGTCTTTGTATGGAGAAAGAGAAAGAGAGTAAAGAGTGAGTGAATGAAACAGCGAGAGAGAGAGAGAGAGAGAGAGAGAGAGAGAAGTCATAAATATTTACTAATAGTTACCAAATATTTTATAAGAATAGGAGTGAATGATTTTGCAATACTTACTAAATACCTAAGATAATTATTATTAAACTAACCTAATAATTATTAAACATTTAATAACAAATGTTAAATTTCTGGTAGCAATTACTCTTTTATTTAGTTGACTCAACTCGGAATAAAAGTCGTTCCTACTGCAGGCCGACTAAATACTTGGCAATTAATATCAACAGTCACCAAATACTCTCTCGAAATCTTTAATTAAACATATTCAATAAGTATTATCAGTCTTTTTTTCAGCGTAGAAACGCGGGAACGCGGTCGCAGAGGTATCGAGAGCGGTCAAGTCGGCAGTCGAGCACCGAAGTCGTCGTCGTTCGTTAATCTCACGAAAGTCTTATAAGTATTCATCCACGAAGTTACAGCTGGCCGTCGACTGCATCGTGCCTGAGTAAAGCCGATTGGGAAAGCCGAAGGGAGGTGTGCGGCTCGTCGGAGGGCGGCTCGCGCGCGAGGGAAGCGCGACTGTACGGTGTATATCAAACCGGCGCAGCCGCGACCGGGAAATCGATACTTATCCCGTGTGCCGGCGGGTACTTCCAGTACGCGGCCCGTGTGCATGAGGTAAACACGGTTACTCTGATCGGCAATCGGAATGGAATGACGAGCGTGAGAAGTGATCAGCCGAGTCCAGTTCCGATTGTCACGCAGCAGCATGGTACGTCCGAACGGAAGAATTGAGGACGACGATACGCGACGAGAACGACGACGACGACGACGATAACGATGAGGAGGATGAATGACGATGAATGACGATGACGAGGACGGAACAAACACGACAAGCGGGTGCTGACGAGAGCTCGAATCGGTGAGCCGGAGGTTCTCAGGAGAGTCTCATCGATAGTGCATGCAGGGTGCACTTCGACGAACCAGTCGGCACCTGCGACGTCGATGGCGCGAGCGGCCTGATGTCTCGGCCGTCTCGTCTATTGCGTCTCTCATCATTGCTGAATTAAACGCGCTCTCTTTCTTATGTGCAGTACGGTTTTGTGAATTACGCCCTCGAGCTCCTGGTCGTGAAGACCTTCGGCGGCGAGACGTGGGAGGCGATAAAGTAGGTAAAAGTAGGAGATACTAGTTTTCTCTATCTCGTACGCTCTCCCCTATAAGCGCGTGATAATCCTAGAATATTATATGAATATTATTTAATATTAAAATAATATTCCTATCATATTTTAAGAATGTTATGTGATATTTTCTTATAGGAATGTTTCACTAATGTTACATGTCCGCTTGGCATATTATAAAAATGTTCCTAGAATATTAAAAAAAGAATAAAATAATAATAATGTAGAACAATATATATAAATAAAATTTAAGTATACATGACGCAGGGAAATGATGGAAATGGAGATTTGATTAAATCACTAATCACCCCACCCGTGATCAAATCTCTATTTTTATCATCTCCCTGCGACATACATATGTTACACACACACACACACGCGCGCGCGCGCGCACATATGTATATATATATATATACACATATATATATATATATACATATATATATATTTGAATACTCTGATACTAATACATTTGAAATAAAAAACTACAATTATATACTATATATATATATATATATATATATATATATATTGGTATTGCAATACCAATTGTTTTATTATGTAAATAAAGTTTAAAGAATTATGCGTAAAAATTTACTATTTTTTATGCTAAAAAAACCACACACACACACACACGCGCGCGCGCGCATGTATATATATGTATATATATACATAATATTTTCAATTACACTATACTTAGGGAATGGGAAAATATAAATGAAGTTTTGTGCACAACAGTTAAGAAATTTTCTTGGCGATGTTTAATGGAAACTCTTCAATAACAGTCTCATCCAACAATTAGGAAATACAAAAGCGCAGATAAAAAAATAAACAGATATTTGCCTTTTTAATGATATATACGATATTAGAAAAATATCTATGGAAGATCGTTGCAAGTTCGGTGACATTTTGGAATTTCAATGTTAACATTTTTTAGAAAACTAATTGTTTGATTGACAAAATAACGATAAGAGCGAAGACCATCTATTATGTTTTTATGCTATCAAAGATCTTGAATAATCCGGATTATTCTTAATCGGTGTGCACATTGAGAAATGTTTGTACCTTTGAAGCTATTTAGTAATAGCTTTAGTTTAGTAAATAAATTTAGTAATAAATGAAAGGTTATTTATATTTATATTTATTAATAGTCAGAATGTAGTGAATATTGTTATTTTAAATTGTTAATTTATTTATTTAGTGTTTGTCAAAATATAACCCCTAGGGCTTTGTCTAATATAAACAATCACATTCGTGCAATCTTCAACGAGACAATTCTACTGTTCATTGTATTAATTAATTGACTGTGCGTTGCTGCTGGTCCAAGTATTTTAAAGCAATATGAATAAAAATGGTTAAATTCTCTATCTATAATATATAATAGACAATAAGTTACAAAGCACATCTCCGATAACCTATTGATATTGCGCGAAAACAAGCAGCATTCATGCAGTGCTTCGTACTGAATTAATCTTATTGCTCGACTTACTCCATCCATTCATTTATTCATTTATTTTTGACAGTCAAATTATCGTTTGTCTAGCTATGCAGCTAAAAAGAACAGACCAAAGGAGACGAAATTTATTGATTCGTTGAAATCTAATCTCTAATCCCTAGTCTGATATGGCATCTGTCCATATTATTTAATTCATTTTATCGAAAAGTGAGTTCGGAATATGAACCATAACATCATTTCAGATAATTTTTAGATGAGATGACTTTTTTATCAAGCTTTTTTATCAAAGTTGAAGATGAATATATTTTGTATTTCTTCCATTTAGAAGAAATTCCATTTATAAGGATGATCTATTTATTCGCCTGGATGATTATTTAAATAATTTTATCTGGACACCGGCAAACACTGTATATAATACATGTGTATAAGACGCTCGTGTCTCGTTTTCCCGTTCAGCGTGGTGGCATTTAACTCTAAGTTGCGAAAAGATTAAAAATTTAGATAAATTTAAGGAGTTAATGTAAATATGCCATCAAGCAATTGAATGTAACTGATTGGATCCCAAATAAGGATCCTATCAAATTAAATCGCTCAATGAGTGGGCTAGTTGTTTTTTTTTTTTTGGTTGAATTCTCTCAATATTCTAAACAGATGCATCTTTAGTTTGTTGTTTATTTAAAACGGATGTTCTTGGAATATCTAGAAAAATGACACTGGACGACTTTAAAACGTCAAAAAGATATCTGAAGATCTGAATACTTTAAATACATCCGAAACGTTCAATGTTGTATGTTTTTAAAACATCAGTGAACTGTCTGGGAGATACTTTTTGGTTTCATGGCAACATTGTAACTTGATTAGGAAATAACATGGCATTTGAAACGTTATTCACAATATGAGATCTAACAATATTATTTTAAGAAAAGGTAGGATAGTATCTCTTTAATTTTAATAAAATTTATAGTTGTTGAGAACTTTCCATCTTTTCCTCTATATTTCTTTTCTTAAATATTATTTCCGAAAAAAATTTCATTTAGATATTTTTCTAAGTTGTCTCATGGCGTTGCGAAAGATGCTCAGAAGCTCTCGAGAAACATGAAGGTAAGCTTCAAATGATGCCTGATATCCATATCAAAGAATCTAACTACTGTAGGCACTTGACATGTAAATTAAATGATGACAAGACCGTAAAACACTTAACAAATTCCCGGACTTTTAACTTTTTAATGAGGTAACTTCTTAATGAGTTAATTAAAAGCATTAGAAGTATATACAAAGGTGAATTTAAAGGAAATATAGAATAATTATTCATACTTTAACCTGTGATACAAACTGACAAATTGATGAAACATAATAATTGCTTCTTTTCTGCGATTCAATCTTCACCGGCAAATATCGTTTGTAAAGATATTTTCGATATAATCTATCTTTTCACACGCTTGTATTGTCACGATTTAGAAAAGATGCGGCGGTTAATATGGAAGGACAATTTCTGGTGAGGCAAATCTATGACGATGAAATCACGTACAATCTAATATCTGCCGCTGTTAATAGGCTTAGTACGTATGCTTTTGTAACTGCGACAAAATACAATACGCGTACGGAACGTGTCATATATTTGCGACAAAAATATTTATGTATGATATTTCGTGCTGCAGATATTCCCGCTAATGAAATACTCGAATTATTTGGTCGGATGTTCTTCGAGTTTTGCCAAGACTCCGGTTACGATAAGATCCTACAAGTTCTTGGAGCAACACCTAGGGATTTCCTGCAGGTAAGTTCCCGACAAATTCCATTAATCGCGATTTTCTCTCAAATAACTTGGGTCGAAACTTGGTGCTACTTTGACGTTCTTTAAGATAGTTTATGTCTACTTAGATGGCTTACAGATTAATAATAAGACTACTATAGACTAAAACTATAGTAATCATAGATACAATAGTATAGACTACTATAGACTAAAACTATAGTAATCATACATCATTTGTATGAAGTCTATCATACAAAAGAGAAATATATATAAATACTTTAAAACATTTTCTTCTCTTTTATTAATCATCTTGATATTATTTATGCGTTTAAAAATTCGATTATATCAACGTTTGACTTTATTCCTCAAAATAGACCGTGATTTGGTTTGTCTCAGAAAGTAAAGTTTTCACAGAAAAGTGAACATTTATGTATTTATATATTAAAAGTAACATTTATGATGTTTAATAATAGAGAAAAAAATGAACTTCACGATAAAAGTTTTTCGAATACGCTAGATTCAATAGTTTTTTTAGATATCAGCATTTGTATAAGAAGAAAACCAACCAAATAAGCGCGACTAATTTTGTATTATACCTTTGATAAATTTAAGCACATTAATCACATGTCTTCGGGTGGAGAAAGTTCATGATGTTTGGGGGACGCCTTGAAAATTGAGCACGAATATAGTGTATTTATAGAAATTCGGATGACGTATGTAATTACCAAATGCTTTGTGATTTTTTTTTAGGGGGAGGGAAGGGAGCACGGGAAAGAGGAGGTATTGTGTGTATATGTATATGTATGCGTGTGGGTGTATATGCATATTTGTGCGTGTGGGTGTGTGTGTGAGGGAAGTATGTGTATGAGCAACTATGTGGGGAAAGAAGGAATTTGGATAGAATATACAGGATGCGTCAGCAAAATCCGGACAAAACAAACAGTTTATTATAACAATTGTATATTAGTCAAAAACTTAAACTTACAAAAAACGTTTATATGTCACTTAAAGGATTCTTCTTGAGTCCTGTTATTCAATGTAACTCCCTTTCGCTTCGATCGCTGCCTCGAAACGCGAGCACGCTTTCTTTAACTGCTATCGGTCCAATTCCGCAAAAGCAGCTTCAATAGCGGACCTGGAGGGATGCCACGTAGGGATGCCTGGACTTACTTAGTAATCCTTTCAATAACGCTCCACACGTAATAGTCCAGACGGTTTAAATCTGGACTATTGGGGAACCAGAATTCCTTGGGCCAAAATATATCCACATTGTCAGAGAGCCAGTTTTGTACACTGTGTTGAATATGTCAAATTTTGTGTTAACTAAGCAGCATTTGCGGGAGGTTTTAGTTTTCTGCTTTAATTGGAAGAAAACTGCAGCTGAAGCGCATCGAATGCTTGTAGAAGTTTATAGTGACAATGCTCCAACTGATAAATCATGTAGGGAATGGTTTCGACGTTTCAAGAATGGTGATTTCAGCGTTGAAGACAAGCCTCGCTCTGGACAGCCAAAAAAATTCGAAGGCAAAGAATTGGAGGCATTACTCGATGAAGATCCGAGTCAAACGCAAGAGGAGCTTGCAGAATCATTGGGAGTTACGCAACAAGCAGTTTCCGAGAAAAACGGCCGGAATACGAACAAAGATATGACAAAGTTATTCTTCTACATGATAACGCTCGGCCTCATGTCGCAAAAGTCGTAAAAAATTATTTGGAAACGCTCAAGTGGGATATTTTACCGCACCCGCCGTATTCGCCGGACATTGCTCCTTCTGATTACTGGTTGTTCCGACGGATGCAGCACGATTTGGCAGATTACCGGTTCACTTCTTTCGCAGAAATCGAAAATTGGCTCCTAACTTGGATCGCCTCAAAAGACGAGACATTTTTTCGAGATGGAATTCGAAAATTGCCTGAGAGGTGGGAAAAAGTAATAGCCAGCGATGGACCATGCTTTGATTAATCTGTTCATTCATTTTGTTCTGAAATAAGTGCATTTTTGACCACAAAAAACGGACCGAACTAATTTGTGCTCCCAATAATTGCTCAATTCAATATTTATTTGACGTCCATTTGGCCATCGGTTTACCGCTAATACACGTAATAATTTAAAAAAAGTGAGTAATTTAAACCCGGTCATATAAAAAGAAAAATATAAAAATAATAATGTTACATTGTAGCGAAACCATCGTTGCTAAGGTATATTCGTTGCGACAGCGATAAAATTTAGTTAGCACAATCAAGTTAACGAATTGTTCGTAATTAAAGCAATTTTGTCGTCAGGACAGAAAAATTTCATCGAATAGATTTGTCCTTAACACATGTTAATTTACTGTTAGAACAAAATAGTTTCGTTTTACACTTACTAATTTGTTCTTACAGCAAAATAATTTGTAGATTCAGCAAAATAATACAGCGAATAGCGATTAATACTGTTAATAAACAATTTTGCCGTCCGCATAGTAACTGATTTTGCTTTGGCAGTATAAAATTGCTGTGTAAGCAAATTATTTTCTCCGTGTATGTATCGCACAGGCTGCGACATTAATATTAATCGAAAAGACGTTATAAATGCATCTTCGATATTGAAATTACAACATGTCTATATATATACATCTTCGCGTTACGTTGCAGAATTTGGATGCGCTTCACGATCATTTGGGTACTTTATATCCAGGCATGAGGGCGCCGTCTTTCAGATGCACGGAGAGACCGGAGGATGGCGCGCTCGTTTTGCATTATTATTCAGATCGGCCCGGTCTGGAGCATATCGTTATCGGAATCGTAAAGGTAGCCGATCGGAATTGCAATTATACATGGAAAAAAACTTAATTCATGTAACTGAATTTCGATCATGACAAGCGAGATTTTTTGTTTCCCGAGGACCAGATAAGAACTCGTTTATACACTGAGAAATCATTTAGTGGAATCAACAAAATTCTTGTCTGACTATGGGCAAATAAATTTTTTGGTTATAAAAATCAAGGTTTCGTTTTCTGAACCAAAAGTTTGGTTCTTTGGAACCTTTGAAACTTCAGAGAATCAAACCTTCGGTTCAGAAAATTAAACCTTGATTCTTACCAGTTGATTGATAAGTCTTTAGAATGACACATTAGTGGTGTTGCCACCTCCAATGCTGAATTTCCAGTAGTGCCAACCTTCAAACCTCTCACTACACAGTTGCAGACAGCTATGACAATCAGTATATGTGTGACAGCCACCAAAAGCACATAACCTCAGATATTTTGTAAAAATTGAAAAAAAAAAACTGAAATTCATGCAGTGATTAATTATTTCTATATGAAAGGCTTGCAACCGCAAGAAATGATTGAGGACTTCCAAAATACTTTGGGGGAGTCTACTCTATCGAATGCAACTGTAGATAACTGAATTGTTGAGTCTAAACATGGTCGAACCAAAACATCGGATGCACGACGCAGTTGTCCCATAAATGAGTGAAAAATCCATGATATCGTATTGGATGACTACAAAGTGAAATTGCGTTAACTAGCTGCAGCTGTGAGTATCTCTCATCTGAACGTGTGTTCAATATCCTACACGAACATTTGGGTATTTGGGTAGAAAGCTAACTACAAGATGGGTGCCGCGATTGCTAACAATCGATCAAAAACGTGAACGAGTTCGCACTTCCCAGCATTATTTGGACATGTTTAGGAGCAAATAAAAGGAATTTTTGCGTCGATACATAACCGTTGATGAAACATGGATCCACCATTATACACCTGAATTGAAACAGCAGTCGGCACAATAGGTTCCAAAGAGTGGAAATGCTCCGAAGCTACCAAAGACGCAACAATCGGCTGGAAAAGTTCTGGCCTGTGTTTTGGGATTCACATGGAAAAATCCTCATTGATTATCTTGAAAAAGGAAGAATAATCACAGGAGAATATTGTGCATCATTGTTGGACCGATTAAATGATGAAATCAAGAAGAAACGGCTTTATTTAGCGAAGAAAAAAATTCTCTTTCATGAAGACAATGCAACAGCTCACAAATCGGTAAAAGCAACGGCAAAATTGAACGAATTGAGATATGAATTGCTCCCACATCCACCGTATTCACCAAATCTGACCCCGTGTGACTTCTGCCTGTTTCCAAATCTCAAAAGATGGGAAGAGATTTAATTCAAATGAAGAAGTTGAGTGGGAAACAGACGCATATTTTGGCGGTTTAGAAACTTCTTATTATTTGGAAGGTTTAAAGAAGCTAGAATCTCGTTGGACTCGGTGTAATGAGCTAAAAGGAGATTATGTTGAAGAATAAAGTTGAGTTTTGCTAACAAAATGCTTTTTGATTTTCCTTCTAAGGACTTATCAATCAACCTGGTATAACCAAAAAATTTGTTTGCTTATATTCAAATAATAATTTCATTGATTCAACTAAATGGATTTCTCAGTGCAAAAAAATTCCTGTAGAATGCTTTCGCTACTCGGACAATTGTATTCGGTTATCTTAACCGAATTAATGTTGTTATTCGACAAAAATATGATTTTTTCCTGGTGGGACTTGAACCTGAAACTTCTTGGTTCCGAGATTGTCGCCTTAGACCGTAGGACTATTGACGCTGTTGGTTCGTTGTATCCAACGGCGGCACATGTCGCTTTGCATTCTCGGTTTAGGTAAGCGAATAGTTCAACGTATTTGGAAGGGAATATTCCCCAAACCGAAAGCATTTGTTGATGTAAATATTCTTTCTAGTGAAAAAAGGCTACATGTTACTGTAACCGAAACTCAATGGACCGAATATCTTCGGTTTCCATAATCGAGTTAGTTTTTTCCGTGTGTAAGTCTCGCATAGGAGCATAGAGACGATTTCATCGAAATGAGCATTACGAGATTTCGTTTATTTGTCGAGAAGAAATAACGGAGGGAATTTCTTACATCTATTTTTTTTCAAAACAGACCGTCGCGAAGAAACTACATGGTACGGACGTCGACATGCAAATAGTGAAGACCAAAAGTGAATGCGATCATGTGCAATTTCTCATAACTGACACATCGGGACCGGGAGTCGTATCGAACCCTATGATCGCTGAGCTGGAAACATTGTCTGTCGGTGAGTAGCGTGATCGCCGTTTGGATGCCGAGATAGGAAGAAACGATATGAACAGAATATTCGACAGTGAAGTCGCGTATAGCATAAAATATTCGTGAACGTTTCGCAGAATATACAAAATCAACTGAAAAAGCACGTGTGTGTATTGTGGGTGGAAGATAATTAAGAGCAAGATTGGAAAATAAACACCAAGATTGGAAATTTGCAAGATTGGAAAATTGTAATCGTGACCGTGACGAGTTCATTTTTTTTTAGTAGCGACATTTTTTTTATTTAGTAACTTAGCATTACATAATTATTCTTAACGTAACGGTGACGAATATAATTGGAATTTTTATCGTTGCACATATTAAATGCATGTATTAGACGGATAGAAGCGAATCCTTCAATAAAGAAAGTTTTCGAAGCTCGATGAAAAATATAACGTAAAGTTATAACATTTCTTGAGTAATGATTTGAGTAACGATAAAGATATTGAGTAAATTTTATGCATGCGTAACGAGTAACGAGCTACATTTTTAATAGACAACGAGTAACTCATTACTTTTCAAAAGCAACTTTCCTAACTCTGATTGACACCTAATGAATTGCAGAACCGAAGGTCAGCCCAACGACATTTTGCCGGGTATTTCCGTTTCATCTAATGTTCAATCGTGACCTCACGATAGTTCAGACCGGATGTACTATCACGCGTGTCATACCGTGTGTCTCCAGTGGTCACTGCAAACTAAGCGATATTCTTTCAACCGTAAGTTGACCCGCGCGAAATCAAAACACTTTCGTTGTAAATTCTCTTTTCTTGCCTCCTGCTTATTCCTGTTGTAAATCCATAATTTCGCACTTTACTGTAAATTTATAGGAAACCGGGGATAGTTAGCACACTTATTATATTTTTTTTTCTTCTTTTCTATACATTTTGCAACATGTTGGGCCTATTTTTAGTATAATTTAAAAATACAATCGATTACAGGAAAAAATATATACTGAAAGGTTTAAAAGTAAATTTACAGGAAAAAATCGGTTTTATATCATATTTATCTCGATGAATCTGAAATCACCTTATAAGGCAAATATTGCATTTATGTTATTTTGTTTGGATGGGTGCCCACGATATTTCTTTTTTAATATACGCTTCGATAAATTTTTTTTTATAAGATTGTCAGTTATTTGGAATTTCCATAGGTTAGGCCACATTTGGAATTAACGTTCGAAAACATACTGTCGCATATAAACACGGTTTACGTGTTACGAACGAAAAAGGACGTCATGCGGGTCAATGCTGCGGAGGAATATTCGGACTTGCGTTTAAAGGTTCGTACTTCGACACGGGTTGGACATGGAAAAAAAATTAATACACAGCATTTATTAAGGTTCCTTATCATTTGCAATCCATGAGCATTTAATTAATATTCCAGGGTCAAATGTTGTACATACCTGAGACCGATTTGGTTATCTTCCTCTGTTATCCGAGTGTCATGAATCTGGACGACCTGACTAGGTAAGATTTGCATAATCACTCCGTAATTTTATGTAGGCAAGTTGCATTTTTGCTTAATCAGACGTACAATTAATCGGATATAACAGGACATTAAGGCACGTTAGGCTAGTTAGCATGAATTTCGCAGCACAACTTTGTCGGCTCGCGAGATTTCTCTATAAGCGCGTAATATTATTTAATATTAAGTAATACTTTTGGAATATTAATAGATGGTTATATGTTTACTCCCAATAATATTAAAAAAATAATATTATTTAATGTTATTATGACATAATGAAATTATATATGAATAATATTCATTGAATATTGTAATGAATGCGCTTACACGGTTGTTAAACTTGTCCTCTCTTTTGTTGCCAGAAAGAAAGTTAATTTCCGACAAAAATTTAAATCCTTCTCGAATAAACTTCCGAAATTTTTCTGTCCTACACCGCTTTAAATATTCAGTCTGTTACACAAGAGCGTGTCGGCGATATCTCTATAAATGTAAATTTATTTGTAAATTTATTTTAGTAAATCGAAAGTATATAGAAAACACTAACACGCTCATATTTTAATAGTGAGTCCAATCACCTCCGTTAGCAATTGTAGCTTCGCACCTTCTTGGAATACTTTCTATCAATTTCTCAGTGTATGACACAGGTAGCGATCTCCATATTTGATGAATAAGTTTTATTAAGGTTTTTAATTTTAATACATGTTTCCCCTTAAGTTTGTATTTCATTATAGACCATACATTTTCTATAGGATTTGCATCAGAAGACTGAGAAGGCCAATTCAATACGATGATGTCATTTTTCGCTTTCCATATAGATTCGACTTCGATGTTTCGGGTCGTTATCTTCTTGAAAAATCCATTTGTCCTCAGTTTCACTAAACCAACATTTAACTGATATAAGTCCCCTTTGATACAATTTTTTGTGTATTCAAATTGTTTGTGAAGACGCACAAACTCCCGAAACCCCGTACGTTAAAACAACCTCAAACATGCACTTTTGTCGGGTGCTTTACACTCCTTTCTTTTACTGGTTGTCTACGGCTAAACCAAGCATGTCTAATAGGACACCAAAAGGAAGATTCATCACTGAACACTATACAGTTGCTCCAGTCACGATCGATATTTTTATGAACCCACGCCGGACGATTTTCGACATGCTTTTTTGAAAGTAACGGTTTGGATATTGTACTACGCTATTTGACATTACGCTCTTCCAAACGACATTTCAATGTCATTATATTAATGTTTGCACTCTTTTTTGCTAAAACTGGTTGTCCTCTTCGTAAAGAAAGATTCGAATTTTTCTGAAAAAGTCGAAGACTCTTCTTCCCTTTATCTTCCCTGTTGGTAGTCTTTCGCTTTGAGCCGCGATCTGGAAAGTCATCGACACTTTTTGCTTCTTTATATCGTTTTACCCACTTCCTAACGAACTGTGACAACTTACGTAGGTATTTAACACCACTTTCAAAACTCATTTTTGCATGACTACACGGGAAAACCGCTACAAACCGTATTATATACGCAGTACTCACCTCAGAAGCTTTGTTCTCCTTAATAACGCAAACGTATCTGAAAGAAACTGACGCTCACGCGTATTCGAGAAGACTGTGTAGATTTAAATTATCGTGGTCTCGCTTTAATTAGATATCAAGTTTCAAAGATATCGCCGACACGTTCTTCGTGACAGACTGTAAATCGTTCAGAGTAGTCGACGTGAGTAATAACGGCGATCGGAAAATTTCAAATGTCAACGAGACAGTGCGAAGAAGAAATTTGTGTCGTTGCACGTGACAAGCGACCTCTTTGTCATCGCAATATCGCCCCCTCCCCCTCCCCAGCCCTTCGTGTATTCTTTCGGCTACAGGAGGGGTCTGTATCTGAGCGACGTCCCTTTGCACGACGCCACCCGGGATTTGGTCCTGATGTCGGAACAATTCGAGGCAGATTATAAACTGACGCGGAACTTGGAACTGCTCACCGACAAGCTGCAGCAGACGTATCGCGAGCTCGACGGTGAGAAGCAGAAAACTGACAGGTAAGAAGGATTTCCGCCCGCGGTATTTCCTCCGATTTACCCGACGAATAGCCCTCGCCGGGCTTGTTCGTCGTTCACCAGTAACACGATTACGTGAGATCCGCGATTTCTTCCCCCTCTCCCCCTATAGACTCGGTGTAGAAATTAACGGAAATAAATTTATGACGGTACACGAAGACGAAGACGCGGAAGAAAGAAAGGAGGGTGGAGGAAGGAGGGATTGAGTTCCGCTCTCTCCGAGCTCTTCCAGTGAAACACGAAATCTTTCCCGGGATTTCCTCCGCCGAGAAAGTCGCCTCGTCGAAACTATCCAAACTCAATCGTCCGCGTCAGCGTTGCGGAAACTTCGTGTCCGGGAATTCCGAATTCAAGAATATTAATTCGATTAAGGGAAGCCGCCGGCGGCGCGCGAAAGTCTGGCCGGACCCGATTGCAACGTTGTTGAATAAAACATCTCGTCCGCGTTCTGCAGGTTACTTTATTCGGTGCTTCCCATCTCGGTGGCGAATGAGCTGAGGCACTCGAGACCGGTGCCGGCGAAAAAGTACGACTGCGTTACTCTCCTGTTTTCTGGCATAGTGGGCTTCGGCGCATATTGCGCCGCTAACACGGACTCCAGCGGCGCCATGAAGATTGTCAACATGCTCAACGAGCTGTACACGGCGTTCGACGTGTTAACCGACCCGAAAAAGAACCCGAACGTTTATAAGGTAAATAGTCAAGCGACAAGTGCAATTTTTGCAATAAGAAACGAAAACAGCTGAAAAGAAAGTGCTGTTGAATCAATTGAATTTTCAACAGCAACCCTATAAGCGCGCAATATTCCTATATATCATATGAATATTATTCAATATAATCATATAATATTCCTAAAATATTCTAAGAATGTTATGTAATATTTTTTTAATATTATAAAAATGTTCTATCGATGTCTATAAAAATGTTCTTAGAATATTAAAAAATGAATGAAATAATAATAATATAGAAAAAATATATAAATAAAATACATATACATATATTATATATACATATATGATTTTTTTTGTGTAAAACGTATTTTTACGCAAAATTATTTTGGCTTTATTTATATAATAAACCAATTGGTATTGCAATACATTTGAAATAAAAACTTTGAACAATACTAAATCTAATAAATATAGAATTATCTTCTTTACAAATATTGAAATAAACACTCCACTAACTTCAGATGAAAAAAATAAATATGATATGAAAAAAATAAAAGCTCATATTTGGGCTTTCTCCTCTAATGAAGAAATTTTATGTAGAATTGTTATGTATAGTGAAAAATGGATTCCGTACAACAATCTGCGATGTTCTGCGCACTGGGTGGATGCAAATAAAATTCCATAACGTATGCCGAAACCGAACCTCCATTCACGAAAGGTTATGATATTTTTTTGGTGGTCAGCGAGTAGTGTAATACACGTTTCGTCAAAAAAGGAAAAGGTGAAACAGTAAATGCTGATAAATACTGAAAAAAGCCGTTTAATGGAAAAGATTTACTCCAATTACGCGTGTTGCTGAAAATTCTTTTCATTCAACAGTTATTTTCCGTCTATCTTCTGAGAAATGGATTTCGACTGGTATGCAGGATTATCGTTGTCTTCTACATGAAAACGTGAATTTGAATATTGTATGAAACACTTGACTTTACTTCGGTCTAGGTGGAAACCATCGGCGATAAATATATGGCGGTGAGCGGATTGCCGGAACCCTGTCGTTGTCATGCACGATGCATCGCTCGTCTGGCGTTGGACATGATGGATCTTGCGGCTGACGAAGTGCAGATCGATGGGGAGCCTGTGGTATGAGATATGTGCGAGCATATACGCACCTACGTATCTACGTTCGCTAACTATATTTTGCTACAACGCCACGGGACTTTCGTCCGTGGAGAGCGGCTCGATAACTTTATAGCGCGCGTTTATAAACGATAGGAATGACAATGTAAATCCCCTATAAGCACGTAATATTATTTAATATTAAGTACTATTTCTGGAATACTAATAGATGGTCATATTTCCACTCCAAATAATATTTAAAAAATAATATTATTTAATGTCATTGTAATATTATATATTTTTTTAATATTCAATTCTAGGTATGTGTATAATATATACAGAATGTCCCAAAATAATCTTGGTTCCCGTAGTGTCCAAGTAGAACAGGTGAAACTGAGCAGAAAAGTCCTATATCATTTTGCGTGTTATTTGCAAAATGGTATAGGAATTTTCTACTCAGTTTCACTCATTCTACTTACTCACCTCGGAAACCAGGATTAGTTTGGAACAACCTATATAATCGTAGTTTTTTATTTCAAATGTATTGTCATACCAATTGTTTTATTATATAAATAAAGTTGAAAGAATTTTGTATAAAAATACGTTTCATACGAAAAAAATTAAATATCTTTTATTTATATATATTTTTCTGTATTATTGTTATTTTATATTTTAATTTTCCAAAGAACATTTTTATAACATACTAAGAATATTATGTGAAGTGGATATATAATATCAATAGAACATTCTTATATTGTTAAAAAATATTAAATTCTAGAAATATTGCGCAGTTATAGAGTCAACACAAAATTGAACAAAATTGAACAAAACTAAACATCGTGCACTCACAGTGAATCGCGTTCGGAAGAATCGCTGTAAGAAGGATTATCGAGCCAGCTAAACGTTTGTGCAGCTTTATAGAAAGTTGTATTCCTCTGCCTTTCTCCATTGTGAATCGTCTGTGTGAGGGACTAGCGATATTTCCGTTTTTCGTTTACGTTTTTATATATTTTCTTGCACATGTGGGTTACTTTCAGTGAATTTAACGTAACACAATGTAGAAATGTAGAAATGTAGAAATGTAGAAAATGTCAGAAGCGTCGTGCATAAGGACAAGTGTCACTGGAAATGGGCGATATGCCCGAATGCATCGATACATCGTATCGATATTGTATCGGTCATCTCTAAGTGGCACGGCGAATTATAATTTCTTTCTCGTGTTTATCTTTCTCTTTTGTTCATATATCATGTTTAGATACATGGTTTATGTACATGGTCATATTACAGAAAATTACGATCGGCATACACAGCGGCGAGGTTGTTACCGGCGTAATCGGTCATCGTATGCCACGCTATTGTTTGTTTGGAAATACTGTGAATCTCACCAGCCGAACAGAAACCACCGGCCAGCCGGGGAAGATCAACGTTTCGGAAGACGCTTACAGGTACAAATAATTTCAAATGTCTATTTGGCTGTAGGAGCGCAGTCAGCGGAACGCGAATCCGCTTCTGTAACTTTTGCCACTTGGAATTAAAGAAAGTCGCTGGCGGTTCGCAACTTCGATTTCCCGTACGTGTATACGTTTGTGTCGTCTCACACGGCACACTTTCCACTATTCTTGAGCGTTTATGGTATTCACGTCAGGAACGATCGAGCATCGCTCACAATACGTTCTCTAATTCTCAAGATACATTGACTTGGCGCGATATTATAGGACGCAATTGTAAGACGTCGGAGATTTCTGAAACTTGACTTATCCTTTGACCTCAGACCGGTGGTCCGTGTTTGCCTTAGATCATTTCAGATCTATCTAGATAAAGATTAGATGAAAATAAAAATCATCAAATAGAAAATAAATAAAAATCATCTTAGATAAGATGATGATTTTCATTTTGATTTATCTAAATGAAAGATAAGTAGCGCTACTTACCTAGATAATTTTTTACATGATAATGTTTTCATGAGAAACTATAAAAATTTTTCATCCAAATTACGCAGATCATAAAATCGCACAACGGTTAAGTAAATAAGTCAACATAATCACTTTAAATTTGAGGATCTAACAAAAAAGACCAATAATCATTGACTGTTCACTAATCGCTATGTTTTCTGAACGCGGTCATTATTTCGGTTTTCTTCTATAAAGTTCATATCAGATTACTGACTATGAAGGCGGATCTGACTGGCGGTTACGACTGTCGACTCTTGAAGGGTCTATCATAATGAAGCGTCACGTAACTAGTTTACTGTAATTGGTCCATTAAGATTTGGCAGTCGTAATCGACAATCTGGTCCGCCTTCACAATCGACAGTTTGATACGGACTTAAAGTAGATCGATCAATTATAATAAATAATTCTGTTCTTTTTAGTTGCACCAGTTCAGCAGTGCAACTAAAAGAACAGACCAAAGGAGACAAAACCGAAATTTGTTGATTCGTTGAAATCTAATCTCCAATCCCTGGTCTGATACGGGCTTAACGCATAAGTCCATATTATTTAATTCATTTGATCGAAAAGTGAGTTCAGAATATGGATCGTCACATCATTTCAGATAATTTTGAGATGAGATAACATGTTTTTTATTTAAGATGAAGACGAACACATTTTGTATTTCTTCCATCTAGATAAAAATGATGGTGATCCATTTATTCATCTGGATGATTATTTAGATAATTTTATCTAGATACCGGCAACATTGCCCGAGGCACATTTGAATACGACGGCTGGCGCGTCGTCCTTCGTCATTCTGTCCACGTATATCGAAAATTCCGCTCTAAGTCTGACATATTGGGATATAAGGCTCGCGTCTATCGACATTCCCGCGTTTGTTCCGCCTATCACTTTGCTCCACTTTCCTTACGAAGCAGTCTTACGAAGCAGGACGTCAGCGAGCTACTGAACTCAGATCGGGACGACAACGCAACTTGAAGTCACACGGAAATTTTGGGCAACACCTCGGCGGAACACACACGTTCGCAGGATCCTGCGCCAAACTGGGCGAAAGGCGCTACTGTATCGCTATACGAGATTCCAGGACATAACTGCACACGCGGTGACACATGCGATAAAATATTCCCCGGATCCGTGAGCCGTGCAGGGCGAAGAGACATGATGTATCGGGCGAACCCGAGTTGAACAACGTTAGGGAAAAACTACTCGCTAGACAGAAACCGAGCGGTTTTTATTGGCTTGAATGAATTAGACAATAACTATTCAGAAATTGCCCAAAAAATACCGACTATTATTTCTCGGCCAGTTATTTGCCATAAACCAATAAACAAAAATAGCAAATTAATATTAGACGGTTTCAGCGAAAATTCTTAAAATTTTGACTAGTGTTTCTTGGCCACTTCTTGGAAACTGAGCAAAAGAATAAACAGATGAAATACTCAAAATCTTATCAGGAATTTGATCAGAAACTGGCCAGTTTTACTATCCAGTTAGTGTCGAAGCAAGAGTCTCCCAAACTTGTAAGTTTTTGCCAGTGAAACTGATGAGAAACTAGCAAGTTAGATGATTAATGGCGAGTTATCGGCTAGAAACTGGTTTAAATTTCTACTTGGGAGTAAACCCGCCGGTCAGTCCTGCAGCAGATCTAAGTAATTCCTCAAGGACTCGGGGATCTGCAGGGTCTTGATGCCGTGAGGGAGCGCCCAATTGGTGCGGAGGCTCTCGCGGATCCTGCAACGGCAGAGGTGCCTGAGTTCCGCCGGCCGGAGTCCGCTGCGTTCCGGCGGTATCAGATTTCGACTCGCCAGGCTGGGATACCTTTCGTACAGGGACATGCTGAAGATACCGCTGCGACGAGCGATGTGCTCGGGAGTGCGGACGCAGCCGGTGCTCACGGTGCGCAGCAGCAGTCTCAGACACGTCACCAAGTGTTCGGGATAGACGACTTTCTCCTCCCGATCGTCGGGCTCTTCCTCGAACTCGCTGAGTCTCGACAGGATGATCTCTATCGGTGACGGTGCGGTTTCGTCGGACTCGGTCGAGGCGCCGTAACGCAACATAACCAATAGGATGTCCGCTGCGCCGTGTTGTACCGCGACCCTCAGCGGCAGGACCTGCCCGTACGACTCCATTGGCACGTCGATGAGGCGTCTCTTGATCGGCGAGGAGGAGTCGCCGCAACGGTACTCGAGCCGGCCGCTGGTCGCGTGATTCAAGAAGTACACAAGCGCCCGGACGTTCTCCTCGCGATCGTCGAAGTCGCACTTCCAGCCGGACAGGAAGTGAGTAACGCGCGTGCCGAAGATCGCGCCCACCAGCAGCCGCTCGAACGTCTTCTCGCAGTAGAATATGTCGTTCAACAGCCGGCTGACGATCTCGTTGTTGGCGAGGCGCCAGTCGTAGCAGAGCTTCGCCGCCACGTAAAGCACGTTGTGGAACTTGCCGAGCAGGCAGACCGACCCGTTCTCCATCATCGTGATGTTGTGATACCGCAGAGCTGAGAGGACGATCCTCTCGCACACGTCCTGCTTGTCGAGGTTCTCCGCTGGAAGCATCGAGCGCACGTCATTCGTACCCTCCCTCCTCCCCGACCCTCCCAGTCGATCTTATCGAGCGCGAGGCGAGAAGCGTGTATCTCCGCGCTGGAACGCGCGGGCGAGACACCCGGCGGATGCAAATTATTCTGGAATTCGTGCACGGCGACGCGCTTGACGCGAGGGAATTTTTCACCGTTACCGGCGCAACGGCATTGGCGAGGCAACGTAGACAAATAAGAAGCATTAGGTACGGTTTGATGTAACGGTAAGATCATAATGGGCGGAGATATCCCCGCTGGCTCTCTCCGAGAAGCGTTTTTGCCGGGCGGCAGGGAAACGGCGATAAGAAATTAGCAGATGAGATTATCGCGCTTCATTAATTACACTCCGTCGCAGAGACGGCCGATGGAAACCCGAATGTATACCGATACATATGAGCCGTTTATTTTGAAAGTGACCTAAGTCCATTTATATTTTTAATTGAGATATACACGTTACTACAGTCAACAAAGAAAAGTTGACAAATGGACTTAGGCCACTTTCAAAATAAATGGCTCATATATCGTATCGATAAGTAGAAGAAAATAGCAATGTACAAAATGTATCGCATGCCTTGTATCGGTACCAACAATATCGATATGTGAATTGCATATAAATAATAGATTGAAAGCAGGATTAGGAAGGTTACTACTGAAAAGTAACGTCGTTACGAAATCAATGAAAAACTAATTTATAACGATAATGACATTACAAGTAACGCGTTACTTTCCAATAGAGTTGGACGATACAGTATCGATATAGTATCGATACATAGGGAAATAGAGTTTTTCCCTAGAAAAATAGGATTTTTCTCCGCAAACTGCAGAGGAAAATCCTATTTTTCTGAGAGAAATCCTTATTTCCCTATATATCGATATTATATCGCACAACTCTACTCTCGAACTCTGATTAAAAGTACTTATGTTGTATACATTATATGAATGTAATATGAATTGGACGTATTTATGACAACGTTGAAATAATCATGCTAAAATTATTTTTTTAATAAAAAATGCACAACATGAATAAAATAGTTTTACTTGTAAAATTAATTATATTATTTTATATCATTTTATATGTTATGAGAAATACATAATAATAATTTATAATTACTCTATGAATGCTAATCTCGTATCGTGCCTCATCTTTAAGAAGTGAAATGTTAACGAAATGTTTACGAAACATTGGAGACAAATCCATGAGAAACGCCGCGCTAATTCAAAATGCCAAATTAAATACTCGTATTTATAAATGCCAATTGCTGAGATTAGGAGATTATAGAAATAATAATTAGTTTTAGGTAGTTACTCATTAACTCATTTCGCTTTTTGGTCGTTATCTTATCTGCTGTAGAAAATAGCCTCTTGGCAAAAAATAACTAATAAAATTAATCGCTCAGGCTTTTAAATGAGTTGTTAGGAGGCAGTCAAATCCACAAAACAATCGCTAATACGGGCGTGCGGTATAGGCGTATCAGAGTTCAATATTTAGGGGTCGTCTATCGATATATGGAAACTTCGAATGGTAAAATATCGTTACGAAGCATCGATGTTTTTGCACTAAAATATCGATACTGTATCGTCCATCTCTTCTGCGTCGATGCCATCAGTGGTTTATCGTGTATGTACGAGAAATTTCAGGAATTTTCTGCGTCGGACGCGCGCGGCTGATAAAATAACACTGTCGCGTTAATTATTATCGATTCCCGACCGATATGATGCCTGTCATTCGCAACTTGCGTAAATATGCATAACGTACGACGCCGGTGTGTCATGAACTATGTTACCTTCTGCACAACTGTTTATCACATCAGTGAAATAATTGACCAGCTCTCGACGTTTGTAGCGTGAGGCTAAACAACTGCGCTCCATTTCTGAGAATAGTCTGTCGAAGTAGCAATCTATCAACACCTCCATGAGTTTCGACAGGTTTCAACTGCGAGAAACGGTGGGCGATGTGTAATTTCAATGATTTCAAGATCGCGCAACCGTCGTCGCGAACGTTCACGTTTTAATGATTACCAGCGGGGCAAAGCAGCCCGGCTCACACACGACGAGCTTAATTCGTTTAGACGTGAAATACGTGTTTGAAGGGTTTCTTTAATGCACCTCCTCTGAGACATTCTATACCCGTGCAGAGAATGTATAAGCCTCTTATGCTTCTTACTTACATGCAAAGATCGAAATTCGCTTGGACAGTACGTTCTCAAATAATACTTCTGTTTTCTTCTTAACAGGTTGCCGATCAATCGGGAAGATATTACACAAGGTGTCCCGAACAAATCTTGGTTAACGTGGTGTGCAAGTAGAATGGGTGAAACTGAGCAGAAAAGCCCTATACCATTTTGCAAATAACACGCAAAATTTCGGGTTATCAATGATAGAAAATGGACATGTACAGAGGCTTCTTTAATTGATAACTCAGAAATTTGCGTGTTATTTGCAAAAACAGATACCCGGCAAGCAAAAGGAAAGACAATAAATTAGTTAAAAATATGCTGGATGTGTTTTTTGAGAAATGAACCATATACAATTTTCTATAAGATATCAATGGATGAGAATGCAGAATTTAAAATGTTGGATTTATTACCACGTCGGAATAGACCAAGAAAATTCGAAAATATTGTATTGACACCACTTTATAAAAATATAAAACGAATTACAACAGCGAAATACAAGGACATGATGGACTTATTACGATATATACTACCGGAGCACCATGATTTCTTCAAATCTCTCTCGCATACACAAAATGTAGATGAGCAGTAAATTGTCATGTAATTTATATATTTAGAAGATTTCCTAAATTGCGTAAATTGTGTTTTTGAAGTGTTGTAAAGAAATATAAAATAAATTGAATATTGTTTTTTCAATTTGAAGCATTTTAAATTATGTCGTATATTATGTGTGTATGGACTTGGGCTCTTTCAAATTTTATAACAAATCTAGTTGTTAATTTTGAAAATGGCTTAACTCCATTTGTGGTAAGAAAACATATATTATTCACTTAGTAATTGTTATTATTTTAATAGGAATTGTAAATTTAACTCTCGTTTCCGAAATGAAGATGAAACGTTTGTATTTGACCAAGAAAAAATTCTATTCTAAGACAACGCACCGGCGCATAAGTCAACCATCGCGATGGCAAAATTGCACACGAATTGAAGTTTTAATTGATTCCCTACCCAGTGTACTTTCCAGATTTGGCTTAGTGCGACTCCCTGTTCTCAAATTTGAAAGAATGGCTGTCTGGGGAAAAATCTTCATCGAAAATTTCATTTTCTGATATTCTGATATAATTGATGCTATTATATAAATGACTATTTTTCTGCTTCAGACAAATCATATTTTACCGAAGGTGAGGTAGATTTGAAGAATTTGGAATAAATATGTTGAATTAAGAAGAAATTATGTTGAATAATGAATTTCATTTCGTCCAGAAAAATGTTGTCTTCTTGATTAAGACGGACACTTTTTAATTGACTCTCGTATTTTGTCCCTCAGTGCAACAAGGCGGTGTAACTTGCGCACGTTTAGCAATGTGTTAAGAAATATTTTTGTTGTTTGTTACAGATATCTCTGTATGCCGGAGAATCAGGATCCGCAGTTTTTATTGGAGTACAGGGGACCCGTCTCAATGAAGGGGAAATCAGAACCAATGAACGTGTGGTTCCTGTCCAGAGAAAGAGAACTGACGTCGTAAAACGTTGCAAGAGTGCACGTTATAGCAATAATACCGAGAATCAGTTAGCAAATTCCAAATTACTATACTAAGAATCAATAAAATTCGTGCAATCACTCGAGGAGATTATCGGTAATGCGGACAGAATACGAGCAATCAAGTGTATTCCATGTTAAGCACACACACATACACACACACACACACATACATACACACACACGACTATATATCATACGTTTAATTATATGCAGGAAAGTTTATAAAGAGTTTATTGCATTGGGTCATCGCTGATGACCGACGATCGTTCTTAGACAAATTACGAGATCAAATGCCGACTCGTCTTCGACCGGCAGATTATTTAGCAATTGTGAGTGTACAAGGCAATCAAATATAATCGTTATTTATTTCGTGACATCACACACGGCGATGAAAATATTTCCTTCCTCGTTTCTTACGCGCGAATCGTGTCACTTGGCGGATCATCGACAAGCTCAGAGGTCATAGGCGCGAAATAGACTTCTCAGACGGGAAAAAATCAGGCGGCAAGAATAACCAGACGAACGTTCCACGGTATGCACGCGGTTGGGAGGTGTAACGGAACCTGTTCTAGTCCCCTTTGAGCTTCTCGCGCGTTGCAAGGTCAATATAAGAGATTCTGTGTGCATTCCTTCTGATATCCTGTGGATTAAAGCTTCCTAGACGGTATATATATATATATATATATATATATAAACACATAGGGTGACCCAAACTAATCTCGGTTCCCGTGGTGTGCAAGTAGAACGGATGAAACTGAGTAGAAAAGATCGAACTCATTTTGCAAATAACACGCAAAATTTCGAGTTATCGATGATTGAAAATGGCCATGTACAGGGTTCTTTAATTAATAACTCAAAAATTTGCGTGTTATTTGGTGAGTGCTGTATATATATATATATTATTTCTCTCAATTTTTATAAGTATAGTTATCATTATAATATAATTTGTGTATGTGTGTATATATATATATATATATATATATATATACACATACATATATTTATATATAATATATATTTATATTATAATTATACTATAATTATATTATAATGACAACTATACTTATGAAAATGGAGAGAAAAAGAAAAAACGATTAGATCTAACTATCGAAAGCGCTAAATCGCAGAATTAGATCAATATAAAGTTGCAAGGTGAAGCTTTGTAAAGAATTTTGCAGAAAATGTTGTTAAAGAATCGAGTTGCGATTATACGAGTTTATTAAATATAAAAAAGCAACTTTTAATAAGAATAATAATTAAATTGTTACGATAATTTTTGACTGTAAAAAGTTACAGAGAAAAAGGGGAAGAAAGAGAACGATCAATTAGATTTAATCGTCGAAAGCGCTAAGTCGCGAGGTCAGTTATATTTAGGTCGTGAGGTCAGCTATATTTAAGTCAATATATAAAATTGCGAAGCCAATATAAAAAATCTCGCATGCATTTCTTCTGATACCCTGGGAGAGGGAATTGAAGTTTCGCAGAAAACATTGATAAATTATTAAAGAATCGAATTGCATCCGGTTATATAAATTTGTTAAATATAAAGGAACAGTTTTTAAATAGAATAATAATTAGATTACGATGAAAAATTATAACAGTAAAAATTCCTGTCGAAATTTTGGTCCTATGTTAAACCTTTAATCTTACAACATAGTCGAAGCTAAGATAGTAAAATAGGTTCAATTTCAATTCTAATAATATAATAGAACCCCTACTTTGATCCTGATGATGTCTTAAATTTTTGTTTTCGCTGTCTTAACATTAAAATAGGACGATAAAGGGAGCGTTAAAATTCAATCTATAGAATCAAAGATTCAAAAGAGAAGTTAAAAAATATCAATATCGTCAAAATAGGTTTTTATCGGTCCACAGGCCGTCTAAGTAGGCGCAAACTATCCTTAAGAGCGTCGGGGTAGCATGAAAATTTCTTCTCGTGTTGAGAGAGGGAAGAAGGGAAAATAGAGAACGATTAATCAGATTCAACTATATCGAACGCGCTAAATCGCAGAGTCAGCTGGATATCCGCACGATTTCTTCCGCGCGACTTCATCAGTGTGCAAGGAAGGTAGTCTCGGCGCATCCTTCAGCTCGCATTACCGATCCACCGTAGTAGCCGGCGAGGTTGCCGCGCTTTCCACTTGCCCAGCCGTTCCCGGGACGACGTTTGTACGGGAATGATATCGGACTCTCGAGATGAAGAACTCTCGGAAAGAAGCGAAGAGGACGTCACCGGTGAAATTTCGGCAGGTGCTGATCAACGTGAGGAGTCGCCGAGCGTGTGTCGTACGCCTCGACACGGGAACACCTACGTAGCGCGCAGGTAAAGCGCAGGCGAGCAGGTGGCCAGGTAGATCGTCGTACGGCCGTGCGTGAAAGGCGGTGAACGGTAAAGAGTGAGGCATTTAAATAAGGTACCGGATCGTCGATACCGGGTGACTCAATAGAGGACGCCACGTCTCCGCTACTCGGCCAGGTAGGTACCTGTCGGACGACGACGACGACTGTAGCCGACTCGAGGAGGAGGAGAATCCGTTCTCGTCCTTCCCCGAGTCTCGCCTTTCTCCCTCCCTCCCCACCACCGTCGAGCGTGTTCTTCCCGGACGGGCCGATATTTCCCACTCCCCCTTTCGCCGTGCCCCGGTCCTGGGCCCGCGGACTCCAGTGCTCACCCGGGCCGTGAAACTGCACGAGTGAGTGTCAGCAGGCACTTAGTACTGTTACTGACGTTCCGTGCTGTGTACGATCGCTCGTCGCTTTATCGTCGCCGCCGTCTTCTTCAGCTGGACAACCGACCGGCTGAGTCGCGGACCCGAGTTTTACTATGCGCCGCTCTTAATATACATATGCGGTTCGTAAGTGGTGTTTCGCGATCTCCCATCTCCGCATCTCCTTTCGTCTCGTGTTGCTTCTATTTTTTCTCGATGCGTATACCGGTCCTGCGTGTTCCTTCACCGGCCTTTCTCTTTCTCTCTTTCTCTCTCTCTTCTTCGTAAGCGCGACGGATAGTTCACGATCTCGCGGCGAGCACAGGTGTGCACGAGGTGCTAACCGTTTTCTCGACGAGCGGGGCCGCGGGGCCTTACACTTCTCTCTCTCTCTCTCGGCGGATCGACCTGATTCGAGCACAGCCGTAATAATTCGTCTCAGGCTCTCCCTCGATTGTCCTTGCTGATCGGTAAATCGCTCGGGATCGGCCGGATTTCCCAGTGTGAGTGTCCGATGTACATGTTTCCTCGCATTTCCGTTGAACGACGGAAAAGGGCGATCCTGCGTGAATATCTTGGGATACGGTCTTTCCGACGGATTCAGTCTCTCGTTGGTACCCCAAAGGTCGTGGAAAGTCCGAAGATACGCGATGATCGTTTGACGCGTGGAACGTCGATCGCTAAATCAGCCGAATCGCAGTGTGAATCGATTCGTTAAAAGGATTGCTTCGTGCTTCGGAGGGGTCGAACAAGCACGGCGACGTATTAGTTTCGCCGCTGAAATTAGCGATCTTTATAGTAACGCTCGATCAAAGTCGGGACTGCACACGTTGTGCGATAAAACGTATCGAGCTACTGTTATTCTTTCGATATATATATATATATATATATCGACGGAATAATATAAACTCGATACGTTAATCGTGATCGACGCGATCGACGTCACGAGAAGCGGTCCGTTGGGCACTCGACTTTGATCGAGCGTAACTTCAATCCGAATTACGGTTGGGCGGTGAATGAATTCCGTTCGAGCGAGTGCCCGGTCGTGGTTCCCGGGGATCGTCGCGCGATCAACGTCGTTCGTTCGGCGAGACGGGATGCGAGTAGACGCGAGCGTCGGCGTACGTCCGGAGGTGAATTTCGTAACCGACGCGCGCGACAGAAAAAGAGAAAGGAGGAAGGCGTGAGAGGACGTTAATTTCCGACTTTCCAAATTCCTCCCGAAGGTCTGAGTTGTACCGAGGCGAGTCCGGAGCGGTGATTTCGTGCGCACGTATGGACGGGAACGCGACGATGACCGTGCCGCCGCCGCTGCCAGCGAAGACTCCTCAGGGTCGGGACGCGAGCCAGGCCGGCCGGCAGACTGTGTCAATCCGGGCCCCCTCCGCCTCGCCGTCCCTCGCCCCCGGGCCCGGAGCAACGGTATTCGTCGGAGTCGGTGCTCCTACCGCCGACGATTCCGCGACAACCTGCGGGAGAAGAATCCCGGAAGTACGATCGGCCGCGAACGGCCACGAAGCGGAGCGCAGCAGTGTCGTCGAGTCATCGACGCGGCAGCAGCAACGGCGGCAGCAGGCCGCGCACATAGTCAAGATCAAGATCAACCCGGATGGCGAGAAGAACGTCGGCAGGGTGATATCGACGGTGCGGTTGACCCTGGAGGAAAACGGGCTCGCGTACGAACTTGGCCCGGCCGGCGACGGTGGTGCGGTGGTGGTGAGTGCGACGAACCTGGTGAACGAGCGACGCTGTGAGAGTGCCGGTGAGGGCTGTGTGAGGATCAGTGTTTTCGGCGGCGAGCCGCCGGCCGATAATCGCGAGGACGAAGACAACGACGGTGGCGCGAGGCGCGATCGAGAGAGCGACGACAGGAGGAGCGAGAAGAAAAATATGGTGCACCGTGAGAGCGCGGAGGCCCTCAACTCGTCCTCCCTCGGCGGCCGTCCGGCGAACGCCTGCTTCTACTACAACTCGTACCAGGGCTCGCTGAACGGCATGGTCATGTCCAGCGGACAGTGCTCGCCCAGCGACACCCTGGACAGCGGTACCTGCAGCGACCTCGACGGCACGCCGCCACCGTTGCCCAAGAAGAAGAACGCCAGCACGGTGATCCTGTCCGGCGGTACGCACAATCGGACCGGGAGTCTGACCAGTAGCGGCGCCGAGGTCGACAGCGACGACAACGAGAGCAACATCAGCTGCGACTCGCTGAACGGCGCCGAGGTGAACGAGGACGCCGCCGAGTACCGCGTCCATCGTCCGGGAGGCACGACGAAGGACAAGGTCAAGGAGGAGATCGCGGTCGTGGAGAAATTAGGGGGTCGGGTCGAACGATTGACGAGCGATGATCGGCAGGTCGAGAGGTCGGGCCCTCGTCAGCGAGGCTCCGCTCCGTGCTCGCCGGTGTCGTCGGCCAGCGTCTCGCCGTCGCCGTCCGGAACGTCGTCCCTCTCGAAAGCCTCCTCGACGCCGCGAGTGAGGAGTCCCGATCTCTCGGCGACCGAGCTCAACGGCAAGCCGTTGTCGCCGGTCGTCAAGGAGTACACCTACGAGGAGAGGAAGCTACGGGAACAGGAGAGGATAGAGCAGGGATCCTCCGCGGAGCCTGCCGGCCAGTCGACTGGCCACAAGTACCTGTACGAGGACGACAGGTATTACAATTTCCATGTGAACGAACTGCGCGGTAACAACAGTAACAGCTCGAACGGCGAGCACGCCGAGAACGAGGAGTGCTTCGCCGGCTATAAGATGCACGATAAGGAGGCCATTAGAAGTGCCAAAGGAACTGTACGCGGGGTGAAGAATAGAGTGCGAGCGGGCATCGCGACGTTCCTGCAAACCCCTTCTTCTAAGGTACGTAAACCGCGTTTACCATACGTTCGCGTGAGATTTGTTATATTAGACGTTCGAGATAAGTAGCACTACTTATCTTATCTTTCATCTAGATCGGCTGAGATAATCTGTCTGTGTATGTAGAATTGAGTATGATAGCGTATTAAAAAGTTATAAATTATGTACTGGCGCGATACACACTATTTGTCGGCTGTGTAACGTTTCGCTCGTTGACCAATCGATGGCGGCAAGTCGAGCACGGCGAACGATGGGTCGACTTGTTATACAAATCAGGCACTGTGAATACCTGTGCGTATCGAACTGAAATCGGTATCGAGCCGCTTGGCGCAGGCCCGTTGGATTTAACACTTAAATCCGCGCGCATCGCATCTTGGATGCACTTGATTCGCATGGTCTGCAGGTCGGCGCGAAGCGTTAGATTTACAGTTAGATAGCCGCGCCGACCTCCATCGATCGTCACTTTGGATCGCGTGTATACGGTGCACCGATTGGTAACTTTATCGACGGCCACGACGACACGTCACCGTGGACGTCGGATTATTTTCTTACGTAAATATAAACGGAACACTCGTAATTCGAGATTTGTTAGATGGACATTTTGCAAAATTACAGAATACATCTAGACAAGAGAGTAGGTTGATTCATCTATTTTATTTTTGTGCACCTCGAGTCAAAATTTCGATGGCATTGTGACGCTCTTAAGAATAGTTCACGCTTACTTAGACGGCCTATAGACTAATAAAAACTTACTGTGATGATATTGATACTGTTTAACTTCTCTTTTCAACCTTTAATTCTACAGATTGAATTTTAACGCCGTCTTCATCATCCTATTTTAGCGCTGAAACAGCGAAAACGGAAATTTAAGACGTTATCAGGGTCAAAGTAGGGGTTATATTATATTATTAGAGTTGAAGTTGAATCTATTTTATTATCTTAGTTCTTACTATGTTATAGAATTAAAGGTTTGACATAGCCAAAATTTTGGATATTTCATGCGTTACGATTTTATGACGAGTTTGAACTCACTTAAAACTCTCTCTCTCTCTCTCTTTCTCATGCTTCTGTCGTAAAATGGGAAGTGACGCAAATGAGCAAGACTGGTTCTTCGGACAAAGTCAGGACAAAGTCAGGATTGCACATCGCGCGGTGATCCGCTGTGAATGCTGATTGTAAAGTCTTTTCACAAATATTTACCACCGTTTCCTCATCGAACGCGTTTAATCGTTGCGATAATCAGCTTATTTACGTCACGCATGAGCCTATTTATCATCTTCATAGAGTTCATACTACTGGTCATTTAATTTATTTTACTCTAACTTCATGTCCGTTAATGATGAGAAATGTGCTTTCAAAGTCTCATCGAGTTTAGATCCCAGATATATCCGTGGCACAGTGTTATATATATATATATACACCAGATGTCTGTGTTTTGTACATCTCGTGTGAAAGTAGGACGAATTAAACTGAGTAGAAAAGTCCTCTGCTACTTTTGCAAACTACGCCAAATTTCCAGTTATTAATTATGATATTATTTATATTAATTAATAAAATTAATTAATAATTTCCAGTTATTAATTATGAAATTAAGAAAATAGCCATATATAGATTTCTCTAATTAATAATTGAATAATTTGCGTGTTATTTGTAAAATTACACGACTTTTTCGTTCAGAATGACCTAATTTACATATATATGACAGTATCTAACAATTAGTTCCAAGTTTAAGGTTCAATATGTTGATGTCTGCCGCTAGGTACAACAGCTGTCATATACTTGTAGATTAAGTCCCTTTGAACAAAAAAATCTTTTATCATTTTACAAATAACACAAATTTTTAATTAATTAATTATTTATTAATTATTAGTTATTAATTAATTATTTAGTTATTAATTAAGGAAAACTCTATATATGGCCACTTTCAATCATGAATATTTCGAAATTTGCGTGGTTGCAAAATGGTACAGGACTTTTCTATTCAATATGTATACGTTCTATCTTTACATGAGCGGTTGAAAGAAAAGTTCTAGACAGTATATACATATATATACACGGAAAAGATACAGTTCGCGTAAGCAGGAATGTTAGGTGTAGACAAATTAATTCCTTACTTTTCTTTTGCCGATCTTGAAAATCATTTTAAATTAGAATGTCTACTGGTGCTTTTGCGGTTTTTAAATGCTAACACCTATGTTCTCAAAACACTTTATGAACTAGTGGAGCGAGCGACATAATCTCTAAAAAAAGTTGTAAATATGATGGCCTCTGATAAGGATATTCAGCACTTTTTTTACATTTCATCTAAAAAAGAATGCCGCTGAAGCCGCTGAAATGATTTGTTGTACTCTTGGTGAAGACGCAGACGACTTGTAAAAATGTGACTCATACGACTTGTAAAAATTAGTATAAGAGATTAGTATAAGAGATATGGCTTCTTCAGATTACCATTTGTTGCGATCGCTCCAACATCATTTGGCTGATTACGCACTTTAAAATATTAGAAGACGTCTGAGGAAGACGTCTGAAATTAATACACAAAGTGTTAATCCTGTATACGACTCATTATTTTGATATGTCAACCACATCAATGAAGTTGCGCGTGATCTGGTTATGGCATGCAGTACTTTGTTGGGAAGGCCATATTACAAAGCAGCGATGTCAGAAAATAAATGTGACTCACTACCCTAGTAAACACAAGGATATCAGCATAACCGTTGGACTCATTGCCGTTCGATCATCGAGGTGAAACGGGAGCGACGAGTGTACTTAAGGGTAGATGGGTGATCGGTCCGAGAAAAACATAGGAAGTATAATAGAATAGCTTTTGCCGTTACTAGTAGGCGGCTATGACTTATTTTGTTTTTTTTTTTTACAAGATGTTTTATCTAGCCAACCAAAAGCAGTTGTTATGAAAATATTTTGTTTGCAAGACATTTTATCTAAGCCAACTAAAAGCAGTTGTTAAAAAATTTTTGTAATTGAAGTATCAACAATGTCTAGTTGGAGCAACCATATATCAATCATTGCTGCAACAAGTCACTCAGCAGTTGTACTACAGTTGCAGTTAGTTTTTCTATTAGTTTTTCTATATTTTACTATAAAATCGTATTGGCCTCACTCGATATCTGTATCGGCCAATCAGACTGTTTCTTTCCGTTTATATATATTATGTCAATCCATTCCGCATCGACAATACGACCGTCGTGTACGCAAAACGTTTGCTTAACAACAACGAAAATTTGGTAAAAAAAAAAGACGCTCTTATACACATACACATATATTAAAATACAAATGCATACTTAATTGATTAATTGCATTTTTTAAATAAATAAATATTACATATATTCAGGGATCCGGACTGGGACCGAAACCGAAAACCGTATGGAAACTGATATTTTTGTCGAACCGGAACCGTAAATCGTGCCGAAATTTTATAAAGCCCACAAAACCGGAATCCAGAACCGTTACATTTTTTTCGGTTTGTCGGTTCTTTTCGGTTCATTATTTCGGTCCTTATTTCTATTCTCTTTTAAATAACGATTTTTTTCATTTTATAATAAAATTCTAGTTCTCACGAAAAAGCAGAACATTAATTAATTTATCGCGACAAATAAAAAATAAACTTCAAGCATACGATATTGAACAGAAGAGGATTATTAGAAGAAGTAATATATTACAATTCTGGGATAAATAGAAAGACAGCGAATACGGCCTATTTCGCGAAATCCTAAATTATACAAATTACACTAACGGAACATCTATATTCTTAGAAAGTTCGGAGAATATCGAAATATTCTCCGAATATTCTCAGAATCTGCATAATTTATATGTTCCGTTAGGAAGAGGTTACAAATGACAAAGATAATATATATCCAAAAAAGTTATGAGCAGAAGATGGAAATAGTGAAGAAGTGCCAGCGAGGAAGTTATATTATTACTTTTTATAATATATTATTGTATACGTTATATACCGTATATACATACATATATATATAATTTAAATCAATAAAAATTTTGGTAAGAAAACATGTTTAAACAATCGGAACCTTAAAAAATCGTTATTTAAACGGTTTACCGATATTTTCATTGTTCCGAAAACTGAAACCGAAATCGGAACCTTTATTAAATATTTTAGTGGACCGGAACCGGAACCGGATCGATGTTTTTATTCGATCCGGGTCCCTGCATATAATAAATATGACATGTACATTTTGATTATGGAACGGGACAAACTTTTGCAGCAATGCAATATATTGTATGTTAATATTATATATATATATATGTGTGTGTGTGTATGTGTGTGTGTAAGCGCGTTTTATTTTACGAAATTTCCGGTGTTGCTAAGCGAGCGTCTTGCCTACACGACGGTCTGGCCATCGATGCGGAACGGATTGACATAACGGTAAATTCGATAAAACGATATTACGGCAATCCGACGCGCCGAGAGAAACATCGGCGGCGGTCTTGGAGCACAAGTATGTGCGCACGCTTCGTTTTTGTCTTCGCTCTTTGCGTATTCGTTTTGTTACCGCGCACCCGCGTTATTCATCCCGTTCGCGCTTGTGCGGCCTATTTCGCAAAATTACAGAGACCGGAGGATACCTCGCCTATGTACGCAAATGCACCGACGACAGCTACGAAGTAATCCTGCGCTTTCTCGCGGCTACATCTGCCTGTGAAACTACTACTTCCATAGCACGCCTCGATTGCGCTCTTCGCGGTGCAATTCCGGTACGAATGCGAATCATTATCTTCGTTCCACGTGAAAATTGACGCCCGCCACGCAAGTGACGATATTAATGAGATGCGTTCCATGTCGCACGCTCCGGCAATTGCTGGGTTGTCGTCAGTGGTATTTTCGAGAAAATACGACGATTATACAGGATGTCGACAGACAGTATATTAAACTTTGACCCTTGAACCTTGTCGTTAAGTACAATAGTTGTCATATACTTGGAAATTAGACTGTTCAAAACAAAAAAAGTCTCTTACCATTTTGC